CATATATATATATATATATATGTATATATATATACACACACACACACACACACACACAATGGAATATTACTCAGTCATTAAAAAAAGTATGAAATCTTGGCATTTGCAACGATCTAGATGGGGCTAGAAAGTATGATGCGAAGTGAAATAAGCCATTCAGAGAAACACAAATAACATATGATTTCACTTATATGAAATCTAAGAAGCAATACAAATGAGCAAAGGGATAAAAAGAGAGAGAGAGAGAGAGATAAACCATAAAAGAGACTCTTAACTATGGAAAACAAATGGGTGGTTACCAGAGGGGAGATGGGTGGTTGGGAGGATGGGGAAAATAGGGGATGGGGATTAAGGAGCGCACTTATGTGATGAGCACTGGGTGTTGTATGGAAGTGTTGAATTACTATATTATACAAACGAAACTAATAGTACTCTATGATAAGTACTATAATACTACTCTATGATAAAAATAAAACCTTCCAAAAAATTAAAAAAAAATAAGTTTTAATTGAGACAAATTCACTATCAAATACCAAAGAAGCCACTCTAAGGATGGGAAAAGAAATTTCATTTACCAATTGTACAGTAACCTGTCTGACATTTGGACCAGGTTTCTAGTAGCTTGAATTTGGCTCTTCATTAAGTTAGTCCAGGAAATAGACATTGCGTTTGTTTCTTTGTTGCTAGATACCATGAACCACCTCCTAGATTCAGTCAGAGCCTTGCTACTCAAAAAGCATTATTATCACCTGAGGATGTGCTAGAAATGCAGAACCTTGGGCCCTACCTCAACCTTACTGAATCAGAATTTGCATTTTAACAATCTCCTCAAGTGATTGCTGTGCACATTTAACTTTGGGAAGCAGTGATAATGGGTCATGGACATCTTTGAGAATCAGACAGATGATGCAGACCAGAGGTCTCGGACTAGAAACTAATCAGGTGATGGAACTGGAAAGGGGCAGGCGGGGGACCTTTAGCAACCGGGGAAAGCAGCCTCTAAGTGTCCACAGGTAGCAGCTACTTCGCTCCAAGAAACATTCACCCACAGGGAAGGCAGGATCAGTATTCTTAGATTTTTCAGTTTTCCAAAACTGATTAGTGTGGATTTTTAAAATGTATTGAATTAAAATTTAAACTTTCAAATTGAATTTACAATCCAGTTGCAAAACTGCAGGGCAACTAGAACACATCAACAGGCTAGTCTTTGTCAAGGTCAGTAGCTTGTGTCTTCTGTTAGACCCTGTCCGCAGAGAAGTACACATATACCCCTAGAAACACATAGTTCAGTAGTGTCTGTTAGAGCTCTGTACCATGATGCTTACGCTGTCAGTATGATAGTCATTGGCCCTATGTGGCTACTGAGAACTTGAAATTCATAAAAGTGACTGAGGTATTGAATTTCTAATTTTATTTAATTTTAGTAAGTTAATACTTAAGTCGCCACATGTATTTAGTGGGAACCACATCAGGCACACAGATACAGAGCCCAGAGACCATGGGTTAAAACTCCTCTCCGGGTGGCAGGAGGGGTGAAATAAAGGGGATTACAAGTGCACTTCCCTTGATGAGCACTGAGTAACATATACAATTGTTGAATCACTATATTACACACTTGAAACTAATCTAACAGTGGATATTAATTATACTTCAAAAAAACCCGAATAAATAAACCAAAAAACTTTCCCAAACAAGCTTTCCTTTTGAGGCAGTTCTCTATTTAGCTAGTATGGAGGTTCTCAACCTCAGCTGGTGTGGGAGACCAAAAAATGGTCACAAAGACATCAGGTCCTTATTCCTGCAACCTGTAAATGTTACCTTATTTGGGGAAATGGTCTCTGCCGGAGTGGTTAAAATAGGGATCTTGGGATGGGGGGATTATCCTTGATATTTCGGCTAGGTCTTACATGCATTTACATGCAGCCTTACCAGAGGGAGAAATGGAAAGACATGAGGATGCTGGCCTTAAAGACCAGAGTGAGGCAGTCACAAGCCACAGAGTGCTGGCAGCCACCAGAAGCTGTAAGAGGAAAGGACTGGATTCTTCCCTTGAGCCTCCAGAGGGAGTACCGCTCTGCTGACATCTTGATTTTGGCCAGTGCAACTGATTTCAGACTTTTGGCCTCCAAAACTGTTGTTTTAAGGCACCAAATTAGTGGATGTTATAGCAGTCCTAAGGAACTGATAGAGCTGCCCACTGGAATTGCCTGGGGAGCTTTACCTACCTACATTAGTTTATTTAACCTTCTTCCAACAAGATGACTATTGTGATCCCTAGTTTATAAATGAGACAAGGATTGGCAAATTTTAGGAACTTACTCACAGTTAGCTTGGGGCAGAGTTGAGGAGAGAGCCCAGGTCTGTCTGCTCACTTCCGGAAACAGTGAACAAAGAAGAGGGAAATGCCCAAGATGATTTCTAAGACTTCTGCCTGCAACATGGAGCCAAGAGTAGTTTCACTATCAAAGCAAGGAATCTGAGAAGTATGGCAGTTGAAGGTGTAAGTAGGGAAAGATAAACTCAGTCTGGGATGCTTCCTTAATTGTTTTCCTAACTCAATACTTCATTCTTGTCTTCATGACAAGAATGGTTTGCATGGTTTGCTCATCCAAACTCCCACAGCTACTCAGTGTGCACCCACAATTGGACTTCCTACACACACTCTCCACCACTCTCTTGGAAACCATAGTTCCACTGCAGGCAAATTGCCTTTTATTTCTAAACCTCTAACTAACTCGGTATCCTTGTAGAAACATGGCAGCTTGTCTCTAACATACCTGCTTCATGAATCTCAGGGCAAGGAAAAAAATGAGTGTGTGTACAGATGGATAACAGATCCACACCCATGATAGTTTCTAACCATATGGAGAGGAAATATGTTGGGATAAAGAAATAGAGTGACTGGGGCGCCTGGCTAGCTCAGTCAATGGAGCATGCAACTCTTGATCTTGGGATTGTGAGTTCGAGCCCCATGTTGGGTATAGAGATTAATTAAAATCTTTAAAAAAGAAAGAAAGAAAAAAAGAAAGAAAAAATACATTGATGAAGAAGAAAAGTAGAAGAGTGCATATAATATTATTACAGGGATGACTGGGTGGCTCAGTCAGTTAGGCATCTGCCTTTGGCTCAGGTCATAATCCTAGAGACCAGGGATGAAGTCCCACTTTGGGCTCCTTGCTCAGCAGGGAACCTGCTTCTCCCTCTACCTACTACTCTCACTGCTTGTACTCTCTCTCTCACACACACAAATAAATAAATAAAATCTCAAAAAAAAAAAAAAAAAAGAATCTCTGGGTGGGTCCAACAACCTGTATCTTGGGCGTACATTTTCCAAGAGTCCCTATGGAAAGTGGGTGGAAGAGGAAGCCAATATGTGGGGTTGTGGCCTTGTAGCTCATTCAGCCCCCAATTTTTTTTATTTTTATTTTTTTAAGATTTTATTTATTTATTTGAGAGAGAGAGAGAGATCACAAATAGGTGGAGAGGCAGACAGAGAGAGAGGAGGAAACAGGCTCCCAGCCCAGCGGAAAGCCTAATGCGGGGCTTGATTCCAAGACTCTGAGATCATGACCTGAGCCAAAGGCAGAGGCTTTAACCCATTGAGCCACCCAGGCGCCCCTCAAATTTATTTTTAGAAATTGACTTAAGATTTACCTGAGGAAAAAATATATATATATGCCAAAATACGTGTGCAGGTGGGTTCTCACCTTTCTAAGGGCCATTAGGTTCTCCCGTGAAATCCTGGGGCCGAGGTTGGGGGGGGGTGTCAATCCCGTTCCTTAAAACAGCACTGTTTGGAGCATAACCCCAGGGGAGCGGATGATATTAGGGGAAAGTTGTACTTAAAGGTAGGAAGTGCAGGAGTCTTTCCCCTCTGTGATCGTGGGAGAATCACGGAACTTTGGGGCTTATTTCTTGTAAACTGGGAATAACCTTACTGGGTTATTGAGAGTAAATGGAATAACCTAAGGAAAAGCACCTGGAGAAATAACAACGCCGGTTTATGTGAACAGTGACGCCGAGCAGCGGGATTCCTACCCGTCGGGGTTCACCCCTTCCCCTAACTCGCGTCACACTGAAAGCCGGCGGCGGCCGCGGCTCGTCTCCATGGCAACCGCCGCTCCATCTCCGGCTGGCCCCAGCCCGCCACGGGGACCGGAAGCAGCTTCCAATCGAGCGCTTCCCCCGCGTCTTCCGGATAACGCGGGGTCGCTTTTGCCGGTCGGGAGGTGAGAACCGAGGCCTCTTCTGAGACTCTATGCCGCAGGGAGAAGCGTCCTCACCCGGGGGTGGTCGGAGGCGGCCGCGGACGTCGGCACCGCAGCCGAGCAGCCCACCCGGCTCCTCCCTCCGCGCACGTCCTCTTTATTCCCGCCGCGACTCCTGTCGCCCCCTGGCGCTTCCCGCGGCCCCTACCTGGCCCCGCACCTCCTTGCCCCTCACCTTGTCGGCAAGCTCTTAGCTCCGACCTGCCCGCGCAGCCCCGCGGCACCTCGGCCGCAGCCGAACTCGCTAGGTTCCCAGCCAGCGCGCGCTCACCTGCGCTCGGCGCAGCGTCCTCAGCGGCCACGCGCCGCCCGCAGTCTCGCGGGGCCGGGACCCACGCGGGAGGGGCGCTGGCGGGGCAGGTGGGTGACGCGTCCGGGGGCCCTCGAGTACCGGGCCTCAGCGAGCCGGCCCCCAAGGGGTGGGATTTTGGACTGAGAGTCCGTCCTCCGCGGAAGGACCCCGGATTCGGGCTCTCGGCGAAGCCCCTGCAGGGATCCCGAGGGCTGCTGGCCCGCGTGCGGTGTTGGGGGTTCGGTCTCTCCGTCTCCCGAGTAGCGCCGAGAGCTAGTGTGCAGGAGGCATGTGTCGGCTGCGGGTGCTGAAGAGGCACAGTGCACCGCGGCCGCCCCTCTTCTCCGTGACTTCCCGAGGCTGCTTTAGTTTAGGGTCCCTCAATGTAACGCCCCCAAACGGCTTCCAAACTCATGGCCTCAACCCTTCCCGCCGTTCAGGTCTCCACCCTACATTCTGTTCTGGCCCAGTATATCATCCAGGTCTGCTGCTCCTCTGCCCTGGGACGTCTGGCCTCCTGACCACGCAGCACCGTGGGTAAGTGGATGGCCTGGATTCAGACCCCTTGCCCGTGCTCTCGCTCCCTGAGCTTGCCTTGTTCCTCATCTACAACGCGGGCAGGAAAATTACCGAACAGGGCTTTTGAGAGGATTTAAATAAATTTATATTTAGGTGCTGAGAAGCGTGCGTCGGACATTCTCTGTGTCATTTGCTACATCGCAATCACTATCGCATCATTTATTTGGTAACATTGTTGTCTCTCCTGCTAGAATATAAGCTTTAAGAAGCCACAGGCTTTGTTCAGGTCACTGCTGTATACACTGGTGTCCAGAACAGCGCTTGATGAAGTCGGAGGGAAATGGTAGACTGCCTAAAGAGGAAAAACGGGCACATACAAGATTTTTTAATTAGCCATCAGTTACCAGTGATGCATATACTAAAATGGTGCTAAAAGTGTCTTTCAACCCCCCCACCCTTTCTGCGAACTTGGGGAAATTACTGTCCTCATACATCACTAGGCTGCTGTTGACACTGTGGATGGATAAACAGTCTTTTCGGTAATTCACTTGATAATACATAGCGATACATTTGCCACTCTGCTTAGAGCCGGATAAGCCAAGTCCTTGGGATATCCTTGAATAACTTGAGGGAAAAAGAATATATTCCTGAAAATGTGCCTCCCAACATTATTTATGATAGTATTTATGCTAGTAATTTATGCTAGTAAAAATTTATGATAGTGAAAATTAGAAACAAATATTCTCTGATGAAGGAAGGTAAATAATAAAGATAGTACGGATCAGAAGCAGAACATGAATAAATGGAAGCACATTAAGATGGAGGAATATGCAATTATTTTTTAATAGTTCCTTTACTGTCAAAATAGTATTGTTTTAATACTATTTGATAGTATGAAACATGTTATATTTAATACTGTTTAATAGTAAATGTTGAAAAAAAATCCACACGAAACGACTTTTCTCATGAGACTGTTTCTTAGCACTATTTGCGGCAGGCTAGAAAAAAATTAATTAGCTCCTTGAGCCTGCCCCAGAGTCTTAATTTTTCTCAAGCTTCCCTTATTTCTGCTCCCTAGGAGTTCCTGCACAATCCTGGCTGATCCCTTATTGTTATACTTAGTCAGCCTCGTGTGCATGATTTGCAGAATAAATTGGGAATTACTCATGCATATGAATTAATGCATCTTAGCTCTTCGATTCTCTTAAGGAAGGATTCTTTGAAAGCGTGGTTTATACTAAGATTAAGGGCAGTACTTTCTGTATAGTCTGTTACTAATCTTAGATGTGTTGTTCTAGGAAACATTTGTCTGTGTCATGTTCCCACTTGTTTCTTTAATCATATTTAAGGAGTGTCCTTAAGGAAAACATCACCTTCTTGGAGATTAAAGCCTAGGTCTCTGTTCCCAGTCCAAATGTCTGCAGAGCTGAGAAAGTCATCACTCCTTCCACACACTTCAGAGGGGTCTGACAGCGCTCTGAGAGTGAAGATGGAAGAGGAAGAGCAGACCTGTGATCTGGACTCCCGCCTCCCCTGGAGCAGCTGCTGCAGCCCAGAGACCTTCCGCCAGTGGTTCAGGCAGTTTGGCTACCAGGAGTCCCCTGGGCCCCGGGAGGCCCTGAGCCAGCTCCGGGAGCTTTGCCATCAGTGGCTGAGGCCGGAGGTGAACACCAAGGAGCAGATCCTGGAGCTGCTGGTGCTGGAGCAGTTCCTGGCCATCCTGCCTGACGAGCTGCAGGCCTGGCTTCGAGAGCACCGGCCTGAGAATGGAGAGGAGGCCGTCACTCTGCTGGAGGAGCTGGAGAAGGAGCTTGATGAGCCAGCTGAGCAGGTAAAAAGGCATCTGGTGGGGATGAGTGACCGGGTTAAGTCAGGAGCTCTGGGGCATCACTGGGGATAGAACTCTCAAACTGTACTCCTACTTAGCACACTAAACACGGAGGGCAGTGAATGTACTTCCACCTGTGCCAGAAAACAGACTGTGGCTCCACTTTCTTCCTCCCTTTTCCTGAATCCCAGGGTATTTTCCATGTAGTATCCTCTCTATTATTTTTTTTTTAAGATTTTATTTATTTATTTGAGAGAGAGAGAGAGCCCAAGCAGGGGAAGTAGACAAGGGAGAGGGAAAAGCAGACTCTCTGCTGAGCAGAGAGCCCAAGGGGGGCTCAATCTCAGGACCCCGGGATCATGACCAGAGCCGAAGGCAGACACTTAAGCCAGAATCACCCAGGCACCCCTCCTCTATTATTTTATCCCAAGACCCAACAAGATTCCCTTCTTCAGTCTCAGTTATACCTAACTGCTTCCAGGTCCTTTTTGGACAAAACGAGGACACTCTTGCAGAGAAACTGGCATCTTGGGAAATCACTCAGGAGTCACCATGCAGCCAGATCAAGCCCGTAAATCAGCAGCTGCCATTGGCTTCAAGGGAGTTCTACTCAAGACAAAAAGGTGAGAGACGGGATTCAATTCATGGGGAAAACCCACCATGTGTCAGCCCACCACACACATCCCGGCTGCTTTCGGCAAGAAGTCTCCAATCTCCGCTCCTGCTTCCTCTCACCGTGGGGTCTTCCACCATTAGATGTTGTGCGAATGATCATTCTCAGTGTTTTGTTCTTGTTTCTTTCCCAGAGAGTTTCATAATCTCTTTCAGATTTTTAAATCTTGACATCATCTCCATGGGGATTTTCAAGCCTTTTATAAAGGAGCATGACCCTTGGGGCTCCTGGGTGGCTCAGTGGGTTTAAGGTCTGCCTTCAGTTCAGGTCCTGATCCCCATGTCCTGGGATCGAGCCTTGAGTCAGGGCTCCCTGCTCAGTGGGGGAGTCTGCTGCTCCCTCTCCCTCTGCCCCTCTCTCCATGTGTGCTCATGCTCTCTCTCTAATAAATAAAATCTTTAAAACAAACAAACAAACAAACATGACCCTTTTCTCAAATGAAATCTTGCACGGAGTTCCAGTACATAAAATAGATGAAAACACAGCTACCCTCACTGAAGCAGGAGCAAGCAGCGTCCATCCACAAGGGCTCCAACTTGGCCTGTTCCCCCCATGGTACCTTCGGGCAGCCCCGAGGGACCCCAAAGTCGCAATCTAAAGACCACTGGTCTACCTCCTCATTTTCTGTCTAGCTTCTTGCTTGGTTACTGGTGCCATGTAGTATGAAAATCATCATATTCCTACTCAGATGACTTTGCCCTCTCATGATGACTTGAATATTTTCCTCTTCTCCCTCACATCCTAAACTGGCCTCGGTGGCTGCTCGCATCACTTTTTACAAACGTGCTCCAAAACGGCTTGCACAGCAGTCTGTTCTTTTGTTGCAGATACTCAAAAAAATAAGAGCTGTGGGGAAAAAGCAAAGCAGAAGACGGGAGCGAGGTCTTACTAAATAAAGTAGGGACAGAGCCTTATTAAATAAAGTGGTGGAGAAGGCCTCTTTGGTGAGCGACATTTGAGCAGAGACCTTTCTTCTAGATGACCGTGCTGGATGAAATGGGATTCAGAAATGAAGAGGGAAACCCCACTTGGGGATCTCCCCTTCTCCCCCTCACACGGCTTCCACATTCCACAGGTTAAGCTAAGTAAGGTTAGAGTTTTTCCAAGATACTTTTGGTAAGAAAATCCAGGGGGGAAAAATACAAAAATTTAGAGACTTAGAAAATAGTTCTCTTAGTTGACAAGTACCTGCTCCCAAGAGGCTTGCGCCGGGCACTTAACATCTCCAGCGTAGCGAGTGTCTTGGCTTAACTAGGGGAGAAATGAAAGTCCTTTCACACTCCATCAGCATCGGGAGGGAACCGCCCCTACCCCGCCCCTACCCCAGCAGCTTTTTCTGGTAATGACAACAAAAGTAATCAGCCTCAAAGCCAGGTCTTGGGACCCCATTGTTGACAAGAACTACGTTCTACCTCTGAATTCCCTCACAGAGGCCTTTCTTATATTTGTTGTTTGTTTTTCATTTTATTTTTTTCATCATAATAACTGTACTCTTTAATCGCCATCCTCTATTTCCCCTATCCTCCCAGTCCCTTACTGTCTGGTAACCATCAGTTTGTTCTCTGTAGTTAAGAATCTGTTTCTTGGTTTGTCTCTCTTTTTTTTTTTCCTTTCCTTGTTTTGTTTCTTAAATTCCACATATGAGTAAAATTATGTGGTATTTGTCTTCCTCTGACTGACTTATTTCACTTCCCATAATACCCATAATACTCTCTAGCTTCATCCATGTCATTGCAATGGCAAGATTACATTTTTATGGCTGAGTAATATTCCAGTGTGTGTGTGTGTGTGTGTGTGAGAGAGAGAGAGAGAGAGAGAGAGAGAGAGACATCACATCTTCTTTCTCCTTTCATCTACAGATGGACACTTGGGCTGCTTCCATAGTTTGGCTACTGGAAATAAATGCTGCTCTAAAATAGGGCGTGCATGTATCCCTTTGAATTAGTGTTTTTGTATTTGTTGGGTAGATATCCAGTAGTGCAATTCCTGGATTATAGAGTAATCCTATTTTTAACTTTTTGAGGAACCCTCATACTGTTTTCCACAGTGGCTGCCCCAATTTGCTTTCCCACCAACAGTGCAAGAGGTTTCCTTTGTCTCCACGTTGTCACTAACACTTTTTCTTGTGATTTTGATTTTAGCCATTCTCACAGGTGTGAGGTATCTTACTATAGTTTTGCTTGGCATTTCCCTGATGATGAGTGATGCTAAACATCTTTTCATGTGTGTGCTGTCCATCTATATGTCTTCTTTGGAGAAATGTCTATTCTTGTCTTCTGTTCATTTTTAAATTGGATTATTTGTTTTTTTGGTGTCAGGTTGTGTAAGTTATTTATATATTTTGGATACTAATCCTTTATCAGATATGTCATTTGCAAATATCTTCTGCCATCCAGTAGGCTGCCTTTTAGGTTTATAGATTGTTTCCTTTGCTGTGCAGGAACTGTTTATTTTAATGTACTTCCAAGAATCGATTTTTGCTTTTGTTTCCCTAGCCTCAGGAGACATATCTAGAAAAATGTTGCTTTGGCTGATGTCAGAGAGATTACTGCCTTTGTTCTCTTCAAGTATGTTTATGTTTTCAGGTCTCACATTTAGGTCTTTAATGCATTTTTTAGTTTACTTTTATGTATGATGTAAGAAACTGATCCAGCTTCATTCTTTTGCATATAGCTGTCCAGTTTTCCCAACACTTTGTTGAAGAGACTGTCCTTATCCCATTGTATATTCATTCCTTCTTCATTGAAGATTAATTGACCATTAAATTATAGGCTTATTTCTAGGTTTTCTATCCTCTTTATTGATATATGTGTTTATTTTTGTGCCAGTACCATACTGTTGTAATTACTGTCACGTTGTACTATAACTTGAAATCTGGAATTGTGATACCTCAAGTTTTGTTTTTCTTTTTCAAGATGGCTTTGGCTATTTAAGGTCTTTTGCGATTCTGTACAAATTTTAGGATTGTTCTAATTCTGTGAAAAATGCTGGTGGTATTTTGATAGGGATTGCAGTAAGTCTGTAGATTACTTTGAGTAGTATAGACATTTTAACAATATTTGTTCTTCCAACCCATGAGCATGGAACGTCTTTCCATTTCTTTGCATTGTCTTGAATTTCTTTCATCAGTGTTTCATAGTTTTTAGAGTACAGGTCTTCTACATCTTTGGTTAAATTTATTCCTAGATCTTTTCTTCTTTTTGGTGCAATTATAAATGAGATTTTTTTTTTTTTTTTAAGATTTTGTTTTATTTATTTGACAGACCGAGATCACAAGTAGGCAGAGAGGCAGGCAGAGAGGGAGGGGGAAGAAGGCTCCCTGCTGAGCAGAGAGCCTGATGCGGGGCTCGATCCCAGGACCCTGAGATCATGACCTGAGCTGAAGGCAGAGGCTTAACCCACTGAGCCACCCAGGAGCCCATGAGATTGTTTTCTTAATTTCACTTTCTGCTGCTTCATTATTAGTGTAGAGGAATGCAACAGATTTCTGTACATTGATGTGTATCCTGTGACTTTACTGAATTCATGTATCAGTTCTAATAGTTTTTTGGTGGAATCTTGACAGTTTTCTAGATAAAGTATCATGTCATATGCAAATAGTGAGAATTCTACTTCTTCTTTACCAATTTGGAGCCTTTTATTTCTTTGTTGTCTGATTGCTGTGGCTAGGACTTCAGTACTATTTTGAATATAAGTGGTGAGAGTGGACAGACTTGGATTTTGAAGGTAGAGATCAGACATTGAAATCACTTTGGAATTTGAGCTATCAAAAATGAATTTGATGGGGTGCCTGGGTGGCTCAGTGGGTTAAGCCGCTGCCTTCGGCTCAGGTCATGATCTCAGGGTCCTGGGATTGAGTCCCGCATCGGACTCTCTGCTCAGCGGGGAGCCTGTTTCCCTCTCTCTGCCTACCTCTCTACCTACTTGTGATCTCTCTCTCTGTCAAATAAATAAATAAAATCTTTAAAAAAAAATGAATTTGAGAGAGAATCCTTACCATTTACAAAATGATTTCTATTTACACCAATAATAATGCCATTCACCTAGTACTATAAAATACATATAAGAGTAGAAGTTTTTTGTAAGTGGGTACTCTGTGCTACCCTTGATTCATTTGAGGTGACAGTTATGCTAGTCTATAATCCTCCCCTTTCCCCCCCTAATTTGTATTTCTGACCTTATATTCCATATTCATTCTTGACCCCTTGGCTTTCTTCATTTATCGTTATTAAACTTTTATTTATTGACCTTCATACTAAGTCTTGGCTATTACTACCCACTGCCACATCTGGCTCCTCTCCTTTGGTTGCTTCTCTGCTTCTCCCATAATTGCTCATCTTCTAGTCCCTTTTCTTCCAGATTTCTTTTCAGTCTCTGATACATCTTTTTACCTCTAGCTTTTGCATGGAGATTTTCATCTTTATAATTGACTGTCTCCTCAGTATATAAATCTTTCCTTTTTGCCTTATGATCTTGTTAATGTTTTGTGACTTACCATCACAATCTTCCACATTGTGGTGCTATTTTATAAACATGCTAGCAATAAATAATTGGTATATATATATTTTTGATCATTCTATTTGCCTTTCTTTCTGAACAGAGAGCAGTGACATCGCTTTTCTGTGTATTATTTCAGCTAAAGACACAAAAACTACAAATGTGAATTCAGCTTCAACACAAAAGACTTCTCCAGGTATGGAACTGCATTCCACTGTTTCCAACACCCTTCATCTGGACGCTCCCCAGAGTTGCACGTATAGAAGAGCCTGTGAACAAGATGGCAACTTTGAAAGAAGACGGAGAAACCCTTTTGGAAAAAAACAACACAAGTGTAATGAATGTGGCAAAGTCTTCAGTCAGAGCTCAGCCCTCATACTCCATCAGAGAATCCACAGTGGGGAGAAGCCTTATGCGTGTGATGTGTGTACAAAGGCTTTCAGCCGGAGTGCCGTCCTGATTCAGCATCGAAGAACACACACTGGGGAAAAACCCTACAAGTGTCATGAATGTGGGAAAGCCTTTAGTCAGAGCTCAAATCTTCTCAGACATAGGAAAAGACACACGAAAGAAAAAGTCCCATTGGTGTTGTAAGGAAATCAAAGCATTTGCTCAGAGCTTTTTCATTGGGAAAAGACACAAAGCACAAACACTCTTTTAGTATTTCAGTGGTTTTAGTGGGCACTAGTTTGCTTTCAAAAGTCATGAAAGCTGCAGGAGAGAAAGTAAAATATCTTCTGTCAACATTGTTTGCTCTTCTGCTTGTCAATACAGTGTCGATTCAGATGTTCGAGATTCGAAAGCTTAATTCATATTTCCTTCCCTAGGACAGCTCTTGAACAGACATTCCCAAACATGTTCTATCTCCATTACTAACACAAATCATGAACTAGCACATTTCTCTTTAGACGAGTTTTCCCTGTTGAGAAGGAATGTGTGAGTTACTCAGTATAAAAATAAGTATCTTCCTCCATTCCATAACGAACATTGGAATTCCCAGACCAAAGATTAGAGCATGTTAAAAATTTTAACCATTTGTTTTTCGTTACCAGACTCAAAATATGAGAATAAGGTTGAGGAGAGGCCCAAAAGAATGTGTATTTTCAGACCAAATTATTGTTAGGGGGTAGATGAATAAAGACATCTACTCTCTTATGAAAATTCACAAAAGCCTACACTATTGATGATACTAAGTAGTTTGGTTTTTTTTTTTAAGACTTACTTCTTTTTAGAGAGAATGTGTGTGTGAGTTAGGGGGAGGTGCAGAGGGAGAGAGAATCTCAAGCAGACTCCCCTGCTGAGCGAGGAGCCCACGACCCTGAGATGATGACCGGAGCCAAAATTAAGAATTAAATGCCTAACCAACTGAGCCACCTAGGGGCCCCTTAAGGAGTTTTCTATGTAGGAAAAAAATAATCTCCTTTACAATGTAATTTAGAAATAATTCAGTGAAAACAGTAGGATGTCTCTACATGTCTTAGGGAATGGCATAGGAATGTTGTAATAAACAGGGGTATCTATGGGTGCTTATATAAAGTTCATGAGCATGTTAAAATAAAAAAGATGAAGAAAGACTGTCCAAATAAGACTGATAAACACGAATATGAGCCAGCGTGGTCTGTAATGGAGACTTGTGCCACAACTTACGTGGAAAAGGAAACCCTCAGCAGCTGACAGGTCTCCTTTGGTGTTCTTCAAGGCCCCTTTTCTGGCATAAATCAGCTGTGAGCATGTTTCAGGCATCTCAAGACAAGCTTTTCAGAGTCTTATGTACATTCTCAGTAAGGTCTGTTTCTAGACAAACTGTCTAGACACCAGCCCCTGGGTTTTGATGCTCTTCCACAAAATTCTAAAGTTTAGTTTTAAGAGTCCATTGAGTTTTGCCCATATTTATGTCAATCAGATTTCCTGTTTAAAATGACTGATTATATGTTATTACAATTATTCTGACAGTATACAATATGATGTTCCCTTTTCTAGGGAATCTTGATAGAACTGTATTACAAGAATACATGCATTAAAATGTGTTCTATGGGGCACCTGTGTGGCTCAGTGAGTTAAAGCCTCTGCCTTGGGCTCAGGTCATGATCCCAGGGTCCTGGAATCAAGTCTCACATTGGGCTCTCTGCTCAGCAGGGAGCCTGCATCCTTCTCTCTCTCTCTGCCTGCCTCTCTGCTTGCTTGTGATCTGTCTCTCTGTCAAATAAATAAATAAAATCTTTAAAATGTGTTCTATGTTGCCACAGTTATCAATATGAAAGCAGATGTTAGAAATGAAGGTCCTCAGGAGAAGGGAAGAGGGGGCTCATAGTGGACTTTGGAATCTTTGTGATGTATTGTATTATCAGAAAATCCAACCACATCTAGTGCTTAGAGTAACTCCAGAAACAAATATGGGGTTACTGTGCTCTACTTAGAATATTGATAATGTAAGATTGGTAAGGGGAGAAGTAAATGTAAATTGTAATTATAGAATTTTCTGATAGTGATTATACTTTGTAGCTCTAACAATATGTGAAAATGTCTTTGGGCTCATTCTCTGTAATTAAAGGAACAAGCCATCTATGAAAGCAGCGAATGCCTCAGATATGTGTATTGTGAATATTGCTTAATTATGGAAAGACAGAGTTTCTTGTTATTATGAATAAAATGACAGAATGTCAAGTGTGCTGAGGAAAGTTGTCTTCACTTGGTGCTGTCATAAACCTTAAGAGATGACATTCTCTGCATTGTGAATAATCTGAATTTCTCCCTGAGAAGGTGGTATGAGTCATATCTAAGTACATGACAAGTCTTTAAAGGGTGTTGTTGTGTCCTAGAAGTTACTCATGGACTTACATAGTCTCCTAATGCTAGTTCACTCAAATGGAGGTTTAATATGACTTGGGCTAACCTTGATTTGAAAAACTAGCATGATGTTAGCAACCCCATTAGATTTATTTCTGTAGATAGTAAATACTCCCAAATGAAATTGATATTTTTATGAATTTCACTTCATCGTGGCCTTTAATATTAGCTATAATCCTATGCTCTCTCTTTACCTCTCTCTCATTCTCTTCAGAGACCAGATCACATGTTGGTCACAGCCCTTAAACCTTCCGGAACTGGGAATGCTTCTGGATGCAAAATCCACGTGTGATGGTTTAAACAAGTAAGGCTTTGTAGCCAGAAATCTGGAGGTGAGTTGCCGCTGGAGGTCAATCAGCAGGTGGACAACAACTGGTCTGGATGTGGTCTCTGCCCTTTTGGCCTTTCCCTTCTGCTTATTTTCTCAGGCAAGAGAGCTGTCCCAGCTCCAAGAATGACATCCTGGGCCAAGCCAGGAAGGAAGAGGAAAAGGAGCTCCAGTCATGGCCATCTCCTTTGCTAGGAAAAGTAGAAGTTTTCCATGAAATCCCAACAAAATTCTGCTTACGTTTCCTTGTTGCAAATGTTTGGTAAAGCATGAGTTTTCAACCTCTAGAGGGAAAATGGCAGGGCAGGTCGGTTTTTGCAATGAGCTGGGTCAGCCAACAGTGTTTGCCACACTCCTTGGCCACCTTCCTTTTCATGGGAAGATGGCTGTTTTTGCCTCCTGCGTTATGGAAAAAAACCCAAAAGTAAGTTACAACCTCCTGCCATCAAATTTGTCAAAGTACCTACACCCACCCCTCATTTCCCCTCCAAATGAAAGGGGTCTCTCTTCTCCCTCACCATTCCTTCTCACCTCTGAAGGAGCTTGGCTGCCATCAGTTATTACCCTTCTATTTCATCATCCTTTCCCCTCTTTGAGGATGCATCTCTCAACATTTAAATACGGTGATGTGACTAGCCCTCCAAATCTATACTTTTCCGGTGTATCTTTACAAAATTTTACAAAATTCTTCCCCCTGATGGGGAAGAAAATGGCCCTTAGCTTTGACTTCTTCATATGCATCTATTTCTTTCAACCAGAATGATCTTTCAAAAACAAACATTTGATCATATCCCTTCCTTGCTCAAAACATAGGCTTCCCATTGCTTTTTAAATTTTTTTAAAGGTTTTATTTATTTATTAAACAGAGATCACAAGTAGGCAGAGAGGCAGGCAGAGAAAGATTGGAGGAAGCAGTCTCCCCGATGAGCAGAGAGCCGAGAGCCCAATGTGGGGCTCGATCCCAGGACCCTGGGATCATGACCTGAGCCGAAGGCAGAGGCTTTAACCCACTGAGCCACCCAGGCGCGCCCCCCCCCATTGCTTTTAATATAAAGTTTTTGAGGCTTTTTGTGATCTGACCACAGCCTAGCACTTCAGCTTTATCCCTTGCCATTGTATCCTTCATTCTCTATGCCAAAGCCATTCTGGATTAGCTAAAGTCCTCCTGCCTCCAGGCCTTTGCGTGGGGTCCTTTGGAACTCTTACGAGCTTCTGCACTTCTGAATACACTTCTCCTGTGTATTCTAGCTTAAATGCCAATTCTTCCAGGAAGCCCTCCACCCTAACACACCAACAACAGATTGGGGACTACTCCCACACCCTTCTATTCATTACATAGCAGTCTGTTCTTAACTGGTATTACATTTATCACACAAAATATCAAGCTGCAAATGTGGTCCCAAGAAGAGGAAGATGAATGACACTTTGGAAGAAAGAAGTCATGAGATAGCAAAAGAAAAAAGTGAAAAATCCCTCCCATCTCCTGGAAAGGGTGAGGCAAAGAGAAAGTCAGACACAGGCATCCCTCTACCTCTGCGTCCAATCCCTACAGAAATGCCAGAGGGGATTGGGAGAGAACTTGAAAGGGGAGAAGGCTGGGCCCACCTGCTATTGAGTGCATTGGCAGAGCAATTGCTGAACAGACCTCCCATTCTCCAATACTGGACTACTGTAAAAATGGCAATGCACCAGCTAACATATGACTTAGAAGATCTATGGCAGTTCTCCATGCTCATTGGGAGCCCTGGAAAAGAGCTGATTGCACCAGCTGGAGAGTTGGGACCATTGCACAAAGGAATTTTGTGGATCTTATAGCTAACAGCTGCAGGACCCAGCTGGGAGTCTCACCCATACTTTAGAGGGTGGCTAGAACCAATGTAGAGATGACAAATGAAGGGAAAGATACTGGCCTCTAGCCTAGCCAAGAGAACAAATCACTGGTTGCTGTAGGTTAGGTGAAAAAGCACCACAGCAGACTACCTGCGAAGGCTAGAGACCAGAAAAGAAGGACAGCAAGCCCATCTGAGACCCAATCCACAGCATGACCTTACCTAGGTGAATGTAAACCCCCTCCCCAGATATCCAGATGGCAGAAAAGGGCAGAGGAAGTAAGAGCCATGTTAGGGAGTTGAACTTAAAATAGACTGAATAATTAAATTCTTTCACCACCGCCCACCCACCCAATGGGATGGGAATTCAAGCAGCAAAAATATCAGTTATAAGAATTTAGTTTCATTTTCCTTTGCATATTTGAGAAGAATTGTGATAACTTTTTACCCCGCCAAATGGGCACTTATATCTGCTTCTGTGTTGGTGCTATTTTATGTTTCTTGAAAACATGAACTGACCCATTCACTGGTGTTTCTGAAGCATTTAGCATAGTACCTGACCCATAACAGACACTTAGATACTTGTGGAATGAGGGGTGCCTGGGTGGCTCAGTCAGCTAAGCGTCTGCCTTCAGCTCAGTTCATGATCCCAGGGTCCTGGGATCGAGCGCCAAGTCAAGCTCCCCACTCAAATGGGAGTCTGCTTTTCCCTTTCCCTTTACCCCTCCTCCCCATCTGTGCTCTCTCTCTCTCACTCTTAAATAAATAAATAAAATAGTTTTTAAAAATACTTGTGGAATGAAAATATTTGCAAATTGTATATCTGATAAGGGATCAATATCCAGAATATATAAAGAATTCCTATAGCTCAGCGAGAACAAAAACAGCAAAAACAAACAATTTACTTTAAAAATGGGCAAAGGACATGAATAGATATTTCTCCAAAGAAGACATACAAATGACCAATAAACACAGGAAAAGATGTTTAATACCACTTATCATTAGGGAAGTACAAATTAAAACCACAATGAGATATACCCATTAGGGTGGCTTTGATTAAAAATAGAAAAAATAAGGGATATTTCGGTGGCTCAGTGGCTTAAGTGTCTGCCTTCGGTTAGGTCATGATCCCAGGGTCCTGGGATCGAGCTCCATATGGGGCTCCCTTCTCCTCAGAAGGCTACTTCTCCCTCTTTATCTGCCTCTCT